TGCTGAACTTAAAATTTACTTTCTGTGCATTCTTTCGCTAGTGTTTTATTTCAGTAGATTAAGAAAAAAATGAGATCTAAATATTTGAACTAAAAGCTAAAAAGAAAGCTCTTTAAAATTTGCTTATAGAAGTCTCCTCAAATAAAATTTCAATTAAGCAGATTGCTGAAGAATTATGTCATGAACATATTTGAAATTAAAGATGTTTACTGGTTCATTGATAAGGAAACTGATGAGCAAAGGGCCAAAAAGCTAAATGACTGAAGGGGGGGGGAATTAGAGGAATAAATGTTTCAGTACCGCAAACTGATTAAATACTCCGCAGCTCAAAAGATGGGAATTTCTAGGTCTTGCCACCGGGGCAGTTTAAAAACGGTGCCTTTATGCAAGACAAAAGCCTTCACAACGGTACATAAATATGCCGATACTTTTATAAAGGTTGCTTTTTAAATTGAAACTGAATTTCGTGTGCTTTTATGCCGAGGTGCTCTTGCAAAGGATTCTGTTTTGGCGAATAACTGCATGCATTATGTGGTTTGGTTTTGTTTATTGAGATTATGGCAAAGCACACTAGGGCTATCTGCCTAAGGGGAAGAATGCCTTCGTGGAGGACTTTCTAAGGGAAACTGGCTCGTATACACGTTACACATGACCAAAACGCCCATGTAGCCAGCCCGTTCGCGGGATTCGAACCTCGGACCGAACTACCAGTGTTCAGCGACTTTACCACTCGGTCGCTGGTGGGCGCATGCATTATGTGTCACCTGGAAATGGGATGGCAATCAGAGTTACCAAATTTTCGAATTTTGGAGAACATGCCCTACATTTTAACATTGTTCTCCGGTCTCCATGTGTTCTAAAATGTGAGGAAATATTTTGCTTTTATCCAAGCAATAATTAGTTTTGTTAAAATCTATAGGGTGTTAGTTGAATCTTCCTCAACCTGTAGGTGGCAATACAAATTCAGTAAGTAACAATAAAATCCAAAATACTCTGGAACCTTTTATTCATCTATTAATATTTCTCTTCACTCGTTTTCGTCCAAGTATCCGGAATACTGAAGTTAAATTCTTGACATTCTCCTGTGGAAGAAAAAGTACGTAAATGTTCCATTCCGAACAACAGTGAAATGCTGCTTTAGATCGTAGAGACATATTTCCTATTAGCAATAAGTGAAAGTGGAGACGGAATCCAAATTTTGCTTGATATTCAAACATAGGTTTGTTGTTTTGTAAACTGTAGGATGAAAAGGTGAGTCCTGCGGAGGACACTCAACCTTACCATGCTGTATCATAAAATGTATAATACTAAATACGTCAAAATTATTAAAGAAAGTAGTATATATAAAAAATATTTGTAAAATTTTTTATATTTTAAATTTCGTTACATTTTACTTTTATTTTCTATTTTAACCACTTAAATACGTAAAAGGTACTGCAAATAAATTGTACATTCTCTTTCTTCTAAAATGATCCCCATTTCCAAGTCATCTACACTGGTGTGCAGAAATTAAGGAAGAAGTCGAAAAATTAGCATATCAGCTGAACGAAGAGGCAGAGCGGACAGAAAGACCAATCAGGAGATTAAGTAAGGTGATGTACGGTAGCACATGCGCAAATATGCAGGTAGACGTAATGGGGGAGTGTCTGAGTAGTATAAAGCATGCTGTCGGTATAAAATCAGTATTTCTGGCAAAGAGATTGCACGCCGTATAGCAATTAAAATCACACCGAGTTGCTGCCTCAGCGAGAAATGGCGAATAATCAATCTGTTAGACGACATCTGGATGCTTTTACCCGAGGTCGAATCATTGGGAAGTTGGAGGAAGGCCGCAGTGTGACAAGTATGGCTTCAGAGTTCGAAATTGCTCACAGCATCGTTTCACGACTTTGGAGACAATTTCAAACTACAGGAACAGCTATCCGGGGGGTTGAGTAGTAGTCGTCCACGAGGAACCACACCCGCAGATGACCGGTATATTGCCTTACAGGCCAGAAGAAACAGGCGGCAGACAGCGGGAGAAATCGCTAGACACACGACACAGGCGACTGGACGACCGATATCGCGTTTTACCGTGGCCAGAAGACTGCACGGTGGTGGTCTGTTTGCACGACGCCCTGTACGGTGTGTACCTCTAACGCCTGCCCATCGGAGAAGGCGTATTCTGTGGTGCCGGGAACACCGGAATTGGAGAGACAATGAATGGGGACGAGTTCTCTTTACAGATGAGAGCAGATTCAGTCTGAGTAGCGATTCTCATCGCATACTCATCTGGAGAGAGCGGGGAAGCCGCAATCATCCGTCGAACATCATTGAAAGGGACAGGTATGGAGGTGGCGGTGTTCTCGTTTGGGGAGGAATCATGCTTGGTTGTCGTACAGACCTTCACATCTTCGAGGCAGGTTCAGTCAACGGGACCCGTTATTGTAACGAGATTCTTCTTCCATATGTGCATCTTTTTAGAGGCGCTATGGGTTCGCAGTTCCTTTTCATGGACGACAATGCACCATGTCATCGCACAGTAGCTGCCGAACAGCTCTTAGAGAGTGAGGATATTGAACATATGGATTGGCCGGCACGATCTCCGGATCTCAATCCCATCGAGCATGTATGGGATTTTCTAGGCAGACGCTTGGCAGCTCGTACCTTACCACCAGTAACGATTCCGGAGCTTCGATTGGCGCTGCAAGACGAATGGGCAGCAATGCCTCAACAACTCATTGACACCCTCATTCTCAGCATGGGCAGACGCTGTGAAACCTGCCTAGCAGTCAGGGGAGATCATATCCCCTATTAAAGACCGGATGTTTCTTGCTGGACACCCATCACAGGGATGTTTCGGCCTTCAGTCGCATTGCGCTCCATGCTACTTTTTCAATAAAGCTTCTTTTTATCCCTCTGATTTCTCTTTTAGTAAGTGTTGCTTACATTACTCATGTCCTTACGTATTGGGGATCTTATGGTATTAAATGTATTGATTTGGAAAGCTTTTGTACAAAGTTATATTGAAAAAACCGTCTCGTCCTTAATTTTTGCACACCAGTGTATTATAAAATATCTGGTAACCGTTCATGAACCGCAAGTTCGTGCAGATTTAATTTGATTTTACCAACGGCGTGCTTATTTTCTTTATCAAAGCAATAGTTGAAAGATTTGCAGTTGAGCAAAATAGTTGATATGCACTACATGAAAAACGATAATAAATCATCGCGATTAACTTTTAGAGGCAAAATAAGGGTATGCATTCTCTACAGGTTTTGTTTGTTTTTATTTCCTTGTACGAAGTAAAGGAAGTATTGTAATCACGAAAAATTCCGGGTATCATATTTCAACGAAAATATCCAATTTGACCCCTCTATCGAATGCAATTTAACGATGTTTTTGCGTGACATCTGTACTTAAGGAGAGAATAAAGGACTCTTTTTCCCAAAATGAATTATAAAACTGATTTAAAGTGGATTTAGAAGAGATTTTTTCGTAAGTCTTACGTATGTATCTCGCACAACTCAAAAACGAGTAGCTTCAGAACGTTGAAATTTTGTATATAGGACTGCTATAACATGTAGTTGTGCCCGTCGCATTTTGGTTGCAATCGGCCGCATATATATGCCCACTCTATTACTCGGCTTCGTTAGTTCAGTTTTTTTTATTCTTATATGTTGGTAAATTGTGATTTTTTTGCTTTAAAAATGATTAAATTATGTTGTTCTTATCTTCCGGTTAAGGTTTTTATGCCATTATTTAATCCGCATGCAATATTTGTAGAATTATCAACAATTTAAGAATTGTTTAGCATAATTTTTTACCATAAGCATAATTTTTTTACCATAGCAGCCATATTTGTTTACATTTGAAACTCAGCAGAATAGTGAATTAATTCTTTCTGCACCTTCAAAGTGCTTTTTGCCGAGTGGGCCAAAAGGAAACTTTTAGCTTTGTGCACCGAAAAATCTACCTTCTTGCTTGCTGTCGAACTACTTGTTTTTGCGTAGAAACTACCTTTAATTGTAAAAATTGTTTTTAATTGTTTAACTGTATTTCGTGTTTTTATGTTTTTCTATGCCTTTCAATTTTTAATGAAAATGTTTTGAATTTTTATATATTTTTGCCTTCCCGCGAAGTGATAACGGAATTAATTCAATGAGAAATATATTTCTAATGAAATTCAAGGAAATAAGTTGAAATGGAGGAAAAAATGCGTATTGTGTAATATTCCGTACAAAGAAGTCATGTGGTGTACACATCAGTTTTTTTTTTAGAATTTATCCACAGAAGCACGACTGAAGTTAAAATATCGAATCTAGTATATCTCTGACTTGTATTTAGGTAAGTTCATATACAATACGATACTGCAGTGTTATTTAGGGCTTTACTGCATAAGTAGTACTTCCAAGAGCAATTACAGAGTTCTTTATGGAGCCTTACAATCAATGGTACATGAAATGCGTCCCTTTTTGGAAGTCTTGGGTGGTGAAAATGAGTTCATATGATCTAAGAAACACTACTTCAATCGATATTCTCGGATTTAAACTGGAAATTGATTTTAAAAATTTTAGTCTTGAGAACAGTTTTATTTGGAGAATATTCTATTGCTTTTCCCTTAAATTATGTTACAATTTGTACCTTGCTCTTTTAACATTAGTTAAAAAATGATAGTTTCAATTTTAGAGTTTTCGTGCAAAAGCGGCAAGAAATAACTATAATTTCGTTGTTAGCTATTTAACTTCGCTAGCAGTTGAATGGTTAAAACAGATAAATACTTAATAGTTTGACACGGACTCGAATCTAGGCGAGCGGACTGGTAACATGGCTTTATTTTCCATATGTAACGCAATTACGGGGAAGTTTTCCTTCATGGTAGATTTCATTTTCTACTCATTCTAGGAAGTCATTCAATACTTCAACACAGAGACAGTCAGGCATCTCCTCTAAAAGAAGCAAGGTTGCTTCACACTCTTTGCTCCATCTATTTCTGCTTCTCCTGGAGAAAACGTCGCTGATGTTTTTCACCTCCGCCAAGCCCGTTTGGGACTCATTAGGGAACTGGTAAGAGCAGGAAAAGAAAGTGAGATGGCACTTATGCGTTTTTCCATACCCAATTACCAACGTGTTAGAGCCATTGATATTGATGAGATGTGAAAGAGACTTATTAAACCTACTGAAAAATAACGAGATCAATAATTAAGGGCTTAGGCCGAGTAAGTGAAATTTTCCCTAAAAAATTACTATATTGAAGCAGTTTATGTTTATTCTTTTTATACCCTCTGTGTACTATTTTATATTTGTATTTTAAAATGTATTTTCAGTACTTTTGTTTTTTTTAATATGTATTATAGTGGCTGTTCTGTTGTATAATCAATCTTTTAATATTATTGGAATGATTTTTTTTAACTATCAATTGAAACATTTGTTATATTTTATGTCATTAGAAAATTAGATTTATCGTTTTAACATCTAATGCCATCACTTAAATATAATAGTTTGTATGGTTTTTATTTAACGTGTTTGTATAACACTTTTTTTTCTGTTCCTCTTCATTCCCTTATTCAATAACTAGGATGTTTTGTGTTTCTTTACTTCATTGATAAATTAAATGTAAATTTAGTTAACTATTGTTGGAAATGCAGATATTTGACTATCAATACCTTCAAATTTTAAAACTTTGATGCCAATAAACTGGTTTCTCTGGTCTGTCTGACCAATCCTTCGCCACAGGCCACAAGGTCTTTTTTTTTTTTTTTTTTTTTCAAAATAAAGTAATGGAAATATTGGAGCAAAATCTAATGTGAAAGCACCCGTTGGTTTAGTCAACTTATGTGAATCGTGCCACTGCCTTAGAAATCTTCGGCCATAATTGCGGAGAAGGAGGTTAGGGATTTAGCATCGGAAATCATGATGTTTCTTATCCAGATTCATACTCGGGACTTCTTATTGCTGGACCAATGTGCTGCTAATTAAGCCATGTCTGTACAATACAGAGACGGTTTCTGTCTTGAACTTTTACAGTTCTGTCCCTGAATTTTTGCAAAGTGATATCTCTAATGAAATTTATTGTAAAGTATGACAATGAACGAGCATAGTCTATTAACTCTAACTGTAATATCTTTCGAACTGTAATTATAGTGCCTTCTAGTTAGAGCTGAATTAACCATTAAGAAAATAAGCACATCCTTAGAGCATCAAAAAGAGGGGCAACATAAAAAGGTGGTTAGGTACTCAGGGAAGGATACCACAAAAATTTACCATTGCCAGTTTCACCATGGAGTGTAAGGTACAGATAAATCAGGGTTTAGTTTGATTTGTATAATTATGGCAAAGCACTCGAGGGCTATCTGCATAAGGAAAGGGATGCCCTCGAGGAGGATTGTTCTGAAGGAAATTGGCTCGTATAACACGTTACACATGAGGAAAAACACGAAAACGCCCATGCAGCCAGCTTGTTCGCCGGGATTCGAAACCGGACCGAGCTACCAGTGTTCAACGACTTTACCGCTCGGCCATAAGTGGGCCACAGCTAAATCAAGACCGAGAGAGAAGAAACGAAGAAAAAGTGGGCTTAGGGTCTCTAAATGTCTTACTTCAACATGTTTAAAGAATATCGGGAATATATCCCGATTGCTAAAAAAATGGAACCATTCAGGGGCAGGTAGCTTTTCTTGTAGTATATACAAAATAAGAAAAAAACAAAAATATTTGCGTCTGTAGTTTCAAGAATGTTTTACACAAATTTACATCGGCGCTCGACCCCACGGGCCTTGCAAAGTCGCTTTACAGTAATTCAGCTCTGCTTACAGTAATTCCGACTCATAATATAATGACACATGAGTGAACTTTTGCTTTTGTTTCAAAGTTTTAATAGCGAAAATGTGGAGATATTTAAAATTTATGTACATATATATATATATATATACATTTAAAAAATGAGAGGTTAAAAACCTAGCTAGGGCCGTAAAGAACTTTGAAAATCCTATCTAATTCCTGATATTTTGATGTAAAACAAGGTCATAATATTAAAATCAAAGTTTAAATCATAAAAATTTACGCGAAAAAACTTAGACAATTAACTTAGAATAGAAAAATGTACAGATAAAAGCAAATTATATATATATATAATATATATATAGGTGTCCCGTAAATGTTGCGACAAACTTCCGGGGAAGATAAGGCACATCATAAGGATTAAGAATTGCATAGGAACCCATGCCCGGAATTGTCAGGAGTAAGTGGTAGCAGAGGTAGAAGATGGGAAAAGAAACAAGAGGGATTAATTTGATACATTTATTGGACATGAATACAAATAGTGTACGGCAGCTTGAATGTTACAACAGATGCTGGTAGTTTGCACCATCAGACGCCTAACATGCCTGACACCGATTGACCATTTATTGCTGGACATGTTCAAACACACCGAGAGTTTCTTTGACTGTAGCAGCTGCTCAGGCGAGTCTTGCCACGAGATCCATTTCAGACACAACAGGATCGTGATACACTACACTTTTGATGGCTTCCCACAAAAAGAAATCAGGGCTCCATAAATCCGATGAGCGTGGGGACCAGGGAACTGGTCCCCCACGCCCAATTCCATCGATGTAGGAATGATCTGTTCAAATGGCTACGAACATCCTGTCCAAAATGAATTCACTTCTTAATGATCCGTAGTCGCACAAATTTTGATGCAGACGTGCAAACAAACTGTGGCAAGGTTTTGATGTCCGTCCGAGAAGCGTTCACGATAAATGCGTGCAGCGGTTCGTCCATTACTCTCAGCTATTCCATACAAAAAGTGCATGTCTGCAAGCTCCCGATTCGTATAGTGTTCCATGCTCTTCGTATCGTACCTACCGCTCGAATGAGGGAATTCTCTCTTTCCACACAAGCGTCTAGCCCCTCAGATGCTAGTTTCCTCCTGATTCCTCCCTAATCATTTGCGCAGATTCACGCGCAGCGTGTTTATGTCAGGGAGCTCGGCATGCAGAAAGGAATCAGCTGCCACCGACGCCGTGCCGTCAACGTTACGAAAGTGCTGCGGATTACTCAGTGCAAATTAATTTCTTTTATTAGTTTTTCTACAGTATTTTTCTTTTTAAGTCGAATACATATTTACATGTTGATATTGATTTTTGGATTGTTTCTCATTTTCTATCAAATAATATATTATTTTGATTTGTGTATAAAAGAATTCCTGATATTTATTCATTCATTCATCTATACATCATCGCCCAAAGCTATTACAGATGCAGATATCAAAAGCTAGGAACTCATTTCTTGTCTACTGAAGGCGTCATTTAAGAAGAGATTTTTAAAAATTCGGCACCCAATGGGGGGGGAGGGCAAAAATGTTTTTTACGTTTTTTCATATAAGGAAGAAACAGATGTACACAAGAGTCTTGCTTTAAAATGTATGGAACATGAATACTTAAAAACCAGTTTCAGAAGTTCGACCCCCCAAGGACCCCTACCCTTGAGAATTCGGCCCCCAAGGGGGTAGGGGGCTGTGGTAATAAAAATTTTTATTAAGGTAGTACAATAATTGAGACAGATCGTTAATAATCATAACAATAGAATAGAATAAATATTATTTTGTCTTTCATTGTTATGGGTTACCAGACTGGCAGCATTGTAATATGCAAGTCGCCACAGGGGCAAAACATGTTTTTCACATATTTCTTCACACTTTAGATATCCGTAAGATTCAGTGGTGGATAAGGCTGGTGCGGTTATGGGCTGATCAAGAAATTCGAACAATCGAATTGACACAGATGACTCGGCGAGACAGCCCTGCGAGGGAGGGTATGTGCGTAGAATTAATACTTTCTCTGAAAAGTATATCTTCCAATGGTATACAAAATGCACAGATACGACAAATGGCAAAATCTATTCTGGATAAAATATCAACTTTTAGAATAATTTTGTCTGCTCGTGTATATTTGAAAATATTTCAATATACTGAGCCAGTAATGAAATATTTGCAGACTAAAGGATTAGATTACATGCTAGCATATAATATAGTTAGGGAGGCTGCAAGCTCTTTAAAAGCCATCTCTAGAAACTTCAATTTAACATTTAATGCATCAAAATTGTTTGCAACGGATTACAATAATAAACTAGAAAGGCTGGGTTGTGATATAAAAGAAGAGCTACCTGTTAGAAGATACCAAAAGTGAAACAATTAGACGATGAAGAATCGGCCGACTATAATTTAAATTGCTCTATCAAACAAGTTATTGTCTTTACTTTTATATTGGATAACGCCATTTAATCGATGAATAGTAGGTTTAAAGGGCATAGGAAGTTGTATGAAGACATATCACTTCTCGATCCCCAAAACGTTTCGAAGCCATTTATCTTTTTCAAATGGCGCGTCACAATTTCCACAGTGTTTCACAGTAATGGTCAGCGTTTACTGTTTCACCACGTTGAAGGAACTCAATGAGCAGAATGCCCTTCTTGTTCCAGAACACTGTGCACATCACTTTGTGTACCGATAGCGTCTGTTTGAATTTCGTCCCGACTGGAGATCCACTATGCTGCCAATGCATTGACTGCTGCTTGGTTTCCGCGGCGAAGTGCAGAATCCAAGTCTGATTGCCTGTGACGATCCCATTGAGGAACTTGTCGCCGTCATCGTGATACCGTTACAGAAATGTCAGTGCTGCTCCTAAGCGTTCAATTTTGTGTTCAGATGTCGGGTTTTTTCGGCACCCACCTGGCACACAATTTTTTGAACAGCAGGTGCTTAGTGACAATCTCTTGCAACAAGGATTGTGATATCTGCAGAAAATGGCTGCTCAGCTTCGTAATCGTGAAGCGACGGTTCTCCATCACGAGCTGCCGCACAAGCTCAACAAGATCATCATTGATGAGGGACTGTCTGCCACTGCACTCTTCATTATGAGCACTTTGATGACCTTCTGAAAACTGCCTACACCAACGATGCATCATCTGCTTTACTCATGATGTTTGTCCCATAGACCTGACAATTAATTTCAATTGGCGCAGTACTTGCATTCAAGAACTTTATCACTGACCCAACCTCGCAGGCGGCAGGAGAAGGAATAAGAGCTTCCATCTCGGACCACTGCAACCACGCTACTGGCACGAGGCACAAGCGTCTAGCCCCTCAGATGCTAGTTTCCTCCTGATCATTTGTGCAGATTCACGCGCAGCGTGTTTACTCGAAAAAGCTTGGAGTGGTCAA